GTATATGCTCTCTACAAGTCACAAGTCGAATTACTCTCTTCTGAATTATAAACAAAGGCTTTAAGTGGGTTTCGTAGGTATTTCTCCACACTTCAACACAATACATGAAATAAGGCAGAATATAAGAACAGTACAAAAGATATAAAGCTTTTTCATCTAAAAATTCTTTAATTTTATAGAGAACTAATGATTTAGATAACTTTGCTTTAATTGAGTCAATATGCGGTTTCCAACTTAACTTTTTTCTATGGTTACGCCAAGAAATTTTATTTCATTCACTCTTTCAATTTCTGTATTATTTATTTTGAGATGTGTATCCACTGTAATTGCTCTATTAGTAAATATGATAAATTTTGTTTTATTTAAATTTAAAGTTAATTTATTTAAGTTAAACCAACACTTTAATGCATTTAATTCTTTCTCAACCTTGTCCATCAATGTTATTAAATCTTTCCCAAAACTTAGAACATTAGTATCATCTGCAAATAGTATGAAATGCAGTGTTTTAGAAACTAAACATATGTCATTAATATACAGAATAAACAACAAGGGACCTAACACTGACCCCTGTGGGATTCCGGTGATCATTGTCAGTAGCTGTGAATCAGTGTTGTTAATGTGGACATATTGGAGTCTGTTCTCTAAATAACTCTTAATCCAGTAATAGGCCACACCCCTGATGCCATATCTACACAATTTTTTTTATTAATAAGTCATGATTAACAGTATCAAAAGCTTTGGTCAGGTCTAAGAACACCCCAACAGCATAATGTTTGTTGTCAATTGCATCAGATATTTTCTCCACTAGATCAACAATTGCCAGAGAAGTTGTCTGATCACATCTAAAACCATATTGCTGTTCAGAAAGAATATCATGGAGCTCAGTAAAGTCATACAATCTTTTATGAAAAATTCTTTCTAGTATTTTGGAGAATTGGGATAAAATAGAAATTGGTCTATAATTAGAAAAGGCATGTTTGTCTCCAGCCTTATAGATAGGAATGACTTTTGCAACCTTCATCCTTTCAGGAAATCTTCCTGATTGGAGAGACTGGTTACAAATATGTGTAAGTGGTTTGGCTATAATCTCAATGATTTCTTTTACAACAGACATATCAAATCCATGTAAATCTGCATACTTTTTACTTTTAAATCTTTTTAACAACTGTTATAACTTCATTTTCATTTGTGCCTTGAATAAATATGGTTTAATCTAAATTTGTTATTTTACTCACAGCATCAGCATCTAATTTAGTATTTGATATATCCTTTGCCAAATTTGGCCCAATTTCGGTAAAATACTTATTGAATTCATTTGCTATTTCTTTAGACTGATAAATTACTTGATTGTCTATCGTTAGAAAAATATTTGGAAGACCATTGGTGCCACTACCCTTTTTTATTACATCATTTAATATGCGCCACATATTTTTAATGTATGAAGATTGGATCAAGCATCTCTTACTTGTCCTTTTGTTAAAGGTGTGGAACATTGAAAAAAACAACAGTTTAATGATTATTTCTAATTATAATCAGTCACTTATTTTTTTATGCAGGCTGAACATGAAAAAAGTCTTCTACACCTAGCTTCTGCACTAAACCTAGCTTCTGCACTAACTTCTGATAGAAAATGGACTGTGAAACTCTAGGATTTGAAAAGCCTGACTTGTCTATGGCACACTGTCACTTAACATTCATGGACTCACCTGTCTTGTCTCATGACAAGGAAAACTGTTGTTGTTTTAGTGTCTGGGAATTAGCAGAGGACGTCCTGACTAACAGGAGCCTACTGTTAGCATTAGCAACTCCACCACACAGCAGAACTCCTCCTGGCTTATTGTGTTATTTGTAGAGATCCAAATGCGGGGCAAGATGTCCAAATATTAGGAAATAAGACTCGAAATCCTGCCATGTTCTGCCACTTTCTGCTGCAGCAGACTTCTTTGTGCTGATCCAGGCGCTGTTTTTCCCTTTAGTACAACTTATAGACCACTGCAAATATATTGATTAAACAAGTGTCTCACACCTTTAACCCTTTGAGGCATAATGGTCACTACAGCGGACAGGTACTCAAAATTGTTATTTCTTTATTTTTGCTATTAAGCACAGCTGTTGAAAGACTTTATTGCATGTGAGCCCCTCCATTTGGACTTCAGTAAGTCAAGCCACCATATTTCATGTTCAGAATGCACGTTGTACACTGAGATGGACATGTAATAAATTATTTGTAAATTAACAAAATGGTACAAAAAATATTTGTTGAAATTTGTTTCATTCACACCTAAAGATGAATGAAAAAAATTGTTTAAAAAATCATGGTTGAAGATTTCACAATTCATGCATCAGAGGGTTAAGGGATGTTTAGATCTGTGTTTATGTTGTGTTTTGATGATGATGCAACAAAGACAGAAGGAAGAGAATGATCTGTGTTTTTATTGCAAGAGTGAAAACGTTTTATTCATCAGCAATATTACAGCGCCAGTCTGCATCTGTTTTATGTTGTGCTGGTTTCATACTAAGCGAAAACACACAGAAGCTTTGTTAGAACCGTGTCACACTTTGTTTTGCTTTGATCTAATTATAAAATGAACTTATTTTTTTCATTTGCTACTAAAAAATCAGATTGTCAATAAAACTGTAAAGCTTCCCAATTATTTTGTGTTCTCTCCACTTGTAATATTAGCTTTTAGACAACCCTAAGTGCAGTCACACCGAGTTAATTACAGCCGTTTATATCTGGTGAAGGACCAGTGGAGATCAGCTGAATCAGTGAGTCAACCACAGAGAAACAAATAAACAGCATTTTTCTCATTTGTAGAGATTCTGAATATAATTTTGATCAATTTGACCACACATGTTTGAAATAAGATTAAAACAGGGTCATGTTACACCAAAATCTCTACTGACATGTACCTAAAGACTTTAGGTTAAAGGAACGATGCTGTTATTGTTTAGACCAGGTGTGTTCTGGGCTGTTGCCAACATCAAATAGTTAGCATTAATGCAAAATTATTATTTTTGGGGACCTAATCAAAGGTCATTTTGGTTTAGGATGGAAATATTCACTGTGAATAATATTATACTTGTCAATACTTTTGCTAGACTTTTAGAGATATGACATTGTTGCAACATAACTGGATAGATGCAATAGTCAAAAAATGTTGCTTTTCCAGACCAGAAACCAATATTGCAATTATAGATCATGCTTTATGAATTCTCTGCAGTTTCCTATCCTCAGTTATAAAAGAAAATGGCACTTCCTGAACTCAGGGTTGGATCTTGTGTTCGGAGAAATATTTCCTTTCTTTATTTATTCTTGCCACGTCTGCCACACTAAAACAAATTCAAACAAATAAATTTAAAAAGCAAATGAGACATAATTTCTTCACAATCTGCATTAGATCAGACGTGAAGGTGCAATGTTTGCATAAACCAGTCCAGGACACTTAGTAATGTATTATGGGCATTTTTCTTTTGTAGTTTTTCATTTTCACATGCATGCAAATGACTTTAATAAGGACTCAAATGCAGATATAAACACATAACTTCATGCAGATCCTGTCTTTATTCTTGGAATGTTTCCTGGAGGATTTTGCAAAGAGAAATACGTGTTTTGTTTTCAGCAACTTCCTCTTGTTGCCAGCATAGATTGATGAATGCCTCAGATATATGCCAGCACTTTCAGACACTTCCCTTTGATAATCTATAATCCCCAATATTGCTCTTTATATTTGCATTTTCTAATCCTCCAACCTACATCCAGAATCACTCAGTGTTTCCTTTTCAATACAGTTATTTGCGTCAAGCCCGATGTATGTATTCCACATCTGTTCTGTGCTTCCAAGAAACAAATTAGTGCAGACTGTGAATTTGCAGAGTCATCGTATAGAAAAAAGGTTTTCCTCCACTGACAAAACTCTAAAATATGTGCCGTAACCTTTGTTTAGTGAGGTTTTTTTTTACCTTTGATTTATGATTGTGTGTAAATAATTTTTTTGGGGGGCTACGGTTGAATTTGGATTAAAAAAAGGATAGTTTTTATCTACACTTGCACTGAATAACAGCCAGCCTGCGGATTATCTCATCATAATATTGAATAATCAGAGGTGCAATTCCCTAAGTAGCATCATAATTCTGATTATCGCTGATTTAGTTCCAAGATTAGATCTTCATCCTTTATCTTCCTGACTGAAGAATGAACTAAGTTTTCTCTATGTTAGGAAATGTGTAAATACTTTTATTTTAGTCTTATTAACTCACGATTATTTAACATTTTATCATTAATATGCAAGATCTAGTGTAAAGTTACATGGTAAAATTAAAAACCTGTTTAAGACTACTTCACAAACAGGATTTTAGACCCAAATGGAATGTTACAGCATTTAAGTAAGTTAAGGAGAGGTATTTTCAGCTCCTTTATTGTTTTATAGTGAAGGGGGTAATGGTTTGTTTATCTTTTTTACAGCTACGTGTGTGTGTGTGTGTGTGTGTGTGTGTGTGTGTGTGTGTGTGTGTGTGTGTGTGTGTGTGTGTGTGTGTGTGTGTGTGTGTGTGTGTGTGTGTGTGTGTGTGTGTGTGTTTAGAACATGATTATGGGGTGTCGTAAAGCTAAAGGAAGTCTCTCCCAGCTAAAAGATGATTTATAAGCAACAACTGATAAGCAGGATGATCTGCAACCAAATGGTCCTGTTTTAGAACGTTTGTAAAAGCATGATTGTGCTTTTCCACGGGGACTGCCCCCTCGGATGATTGTGTCACTGCTTGGAAATAAATGGCTGCACTGAGCAGAGGTCAGAGATCTCATTCAGAGGATCCACTTCTGTATAACACCTCTCCTCATGAGCCAGACTTCATTCTTGTGTCTGCCTGAATTTGTCACTTTTATCCTTTAATTTTTCTAACACTCTAGTTTATTACGATGTATAAGATTTTTTTTCAGTTTCACTGCTTCTGTTTTGTTTTGTTTTGTTTTAATGTGAACTTGTTCTTTTGTTCCCCAGGTCCGTGGGGGAGATGCATGGGCAGCGACTGTGGACCGGGTGGCAGCCAAAGCCGAGCAGTCTGGTGTGCCCATGTGGATGGCTGGACGACGCTCCACACAAACTGTGACCAGGGTCAGCATCCTTCCAACCAGAGGAACTGTTTCCGTGTGTGTGACTGGCACAAGGACCTCTATGACTGGAAACTGGGGGCCTGGAATGAGTGTGTGCCAGTGTCGGCAAGGACCTTTGGGGCCCCGCGTCATTTCACGTGCAGTGGAGCCGAAGAGGGCATTCAGACTCGGGAGGTGGGCTGCCTGCTCAAGTCAGATGGGTCTCCAGCAGAGGATGCCATCTGTGAGTACTTTGAGCCCAAACCTCGCTTGGAGCAGGCATGTTTGATCCCATGCCCTCAGGACTGTGTGGTTTCAGAGTATTCGCCATGGACATCCTGCTCCAAAACCTGTGGAACAGGCCTCAGGAATAGAGTGCGCAGTGTACTGGTTCCTCCGCTTTTTGGAGGTGGCATTTGTCCCAATCTCACTGAATTTCAATCCTGTAAACCGGGGCTTTGCACTGGTCCTGAGGGTCTGTATAGTCTCAGGGTTGGACCATGGAGCCCTTGTGCCCTACCACAAACCCGGACGGCACGGCAGGTCAAACGAAGGAAAGGAAAGGGCCAAGGGCTCCGGGAACGAACTGGAGTTAAGGATCCTGAGACCAGGGAACTTATTCAGAAGAAACGGAACAGGAACCGCCTTAACCGCCAAGAAAGTCCCTTTTGGGACATTCAAGTGGGGTTCCAGGCACGGGACGTGGTCTGCATACACAGGAACGGGAGCAGAGTGGGACGCAAGTGAGTGAAAATAGTTTTTATGATTTCTGACTTCAAACTTGCATCTGATCGACACTGCTTGTGAAACAAATGCAATCCAGTTTCTGTGCGGCTTCCATGAAGACAATAAATTATCTTAGTCCATTTAGTATGGAAGAAATGCAGTCTCACCACAATATGACTTGTTTTACACATTGAATTTATGACATAGAATTTTTATTCTGTGAAATTTTTATTTAAATTTTTTTACTTAAAATTCTCCAGCAAAATTTTATCAATAAAAATTCAGTTAGTCTTCAAACATTCAAAGACAGAATTTCAACGTAAAATTTCAACAGTAAAAATTCGACAGCAAAGATTCAACAACAACTAAGGTGACCTCCTGATGACTCAAGCTACAGTAATTGTAACTCGATGGAATTGTGTGGCTTTTAGATGATGGTCAAATTATGCTTCTCTGATCTCGTGACACCAGAAAGGTGTCGACTTGATTGAGTGACGATTGCTTTGACTTGGGTCACCTGGAGGTCACCTCAAATGTTGAATATTTGCAGATAAATTTTTTGCTGGTGTATTTTAAGCAATAGAAAATTAAAATACATACATTTACAGAATAAAAATTCTATGTTACAAATTCAATGTCTAAAAAAAGTCATATTCGTTTGAGACCATATTTCTTCCGTAATTTACACCATTCTCACCATCTGTGGTGTGGTGTAGATCCAGATGCAGAACTCTGGAAAGTTTCTGCATGGAGTCCATTTTTTCCAGATGCTGCATGTCATCATGAAGTTAAAGAAATTACAAAAGCGAGAGTGAGACGTGTTTGAGCAAAATGCATCCGGTTTATTGAAAAAAAACTGTTGCATTGTTTTCTGGCTTTTTTTCTTTATTATTAATGACAGAGACACCAGTTTGATAGTTTGGTACTTTGACAGGTATATCTGAAAACATATTGTGTCAGATTTCTAATAATTTGGTGCTCCAGTTTTCCATGAGCAGATTTCCGGAAACATTCAGCACACAAACCACAGTCAGTGAATGGCCGTCTGTCGGGAAGCCTTACAGAAACTGGATGGCATCCATTCCGTACTTAGGTGTTAGTGCACAAAAACCTTGCCGAAACTTTTTATGTTTCTTTAGTTTCAATATTTGCATTTTGTTCAAATATGTGCTTATTTTGCTGATTTATTTCCTGCCAGTTGAACATTTGCTGATCTGTTTCGTGTGTTTGTAGTCTACTGCTCATGCTAGAGGATTTCCAACAGCTAAACTTGTCAGAACTGTCCTCCTGGAATGTTTCTTCTCGCTGTCAGGAGGTGACACATCGTGGAGGATGTTTATCATCACTGTCTCTGTCGCTGCCGTGCTGTCAGAGCAATGAGGCACAACTGCCATTACACTGTATTTGATGTCAAGTTTGGAGGAAGGAAGAAGCAAAAAAAAGGCTCCTTTTATGACATAAGATCAATCTTCTGTGCTTTTCACAAAAGAAAATTTGGGGGTTTTGTCCTGTGTTTTTAAATTGATGTTTTGTCAAAAAGAATAAATCTGGCTTTGCTTGAAATATAGAAAATCGTAAATTGACATCAGTAATGTTCTTTATATTTTTTTTACTTTGTGAAAAGATGAAGTTTGAATTTTTGAGAAAATAAGTGACAAAAGCATTGGTCTATTGTTAGGGAGAAACTACAAACTGCTTTCAATGGGCCTATTATCCCAAATACGCGCTGGAACTCAGACTAGGACCATGTGGGAGCTAACCTGTTTGACCTGTCATTATTTTTCTTCTGGGAGCTACAAAGGGACACTGGCAGGCTGAAAATGAAAATGAAATTCCAGTCACTTTATTATTTAACCATCAACGTTCTCCTCCTATATTAAATGTGACGTCACTACAGGAGACAAAATTAAAGCAAACATTTGCCTATTTAATACAATAAATATTAAACAAATTACAACTTTGAACTTAACTGGTGTTATTTTAGAATCTGAGAAGTGCAAATAAAACTGGAGTGACACTGAAAAACTAAAAACATCGATAATCATGACATTTTTAAATAGGAGCCTACCGTAAACCCTCTAATACAGGCCCGTGCCTTTATTTACAACACCATGTTCTAGTTCAGGCTTTTATTGGAAGGAGGCCAGAATTAACTCATTCACTGCAAGCCGTTTCCTGATCACTAACGGCCTTCACTGCCAGCGTTTCTCACCATTTTTACTGTTTTTTTAAGAGTCACAGAGCGTTGCGCACTAGCATGATGTCGATGACAAAACAACAAAAAAAAAGAGGATACTCAGCTCTTACATCAGGAAGAAGCCGTGTGTTTCGAGCGTTATCCATTCTTTCATCATCCGTTGTCGAATTGTGATCGGCAGACGCTTTTCCGGTTCGCGCCTCACTTTTTTTTACAGGAACAGCCCAAAACGATCTCCAAACACATGGATGTGTTGCTTCCTGATCATGTGATCTGTGACGTATACGGATGAAGATCGGCTTTAGGGCTGAGATGTTTGTTCTCTCAGTGCAGGGGCTCGTTCCGATGCTCAAACAGTAAAAAAATGCAAATGACGACTTTAGTCGTCATTGGCAGTGAACGGTTGGATCTAAAATGACGACTTTAGTCGTCAATGGCAGTGAATGAGTTAAAGACAGACCTCAGTTTCAATTTGAGCAAAATAAACTACTAGTAGAATGAATAAAAACAAGATTTTGTGTCAATTTGAACCTATAAAACACCAGGTTCGTTTATAGAAAATGTACTGTTAACATTGTACGTATTTATGCATATAGAACATTTACAACAAACACCGTTGTTTCAGGCTAAATCCCAGTATGGTAGCAAACGTAGAAAACATGCTGGTAGTGCATTGTAAACACTTGGTTACTAAGCTGTTCAGTAAAACGCCATAAAAAACCCTTTAGTAAACCCTGACCTGAGATGAAGTGATCACTGCAAACTGTAGCATTTTCCATTCCGTTTCTGCTCATCTTGCAGCCGGAGATTATGATCCACTATTCCGGCGTCGTTCAGTAAGTATTTTGTAGCGCACTACTTTCGGGACACAAAAAGAAAATGCTTGCTTTGGTCCCAATCGCATGGAATTTGGGCACTTTTACACCCAGGCAACAAAGTATATAAAGCCTGGGGCACACCAGAGGCAATTTTGAGAAGTCAATTGGTCACACAGGATGTGCCGCGCCGCTGAGCGCTTCTTCGAAAGTCGCGCAATAGTCACAAAAACATGCGGGACTTGAGAACAAGAAGCGGGACGTGACTATTGTTTATACATGATCAGACTTGCCGTCGTGTTTTGTGAGACTCTAATTCATTAACGTAATTATGTTATTTATTAAAATATTTAAAGATCAATTGTACTTTAAAATGATTAAAACAGAGGTTAGGTTTGTGCCGTGAAGCCGGCCACTATTAGAGACTGGCCTTTATTTACCCCCACTGATAGCGAGACCAGCTAATGTAGAAGACCCGGCCGGCAATGGAAGACAGGCCAATATTAGAGGATTTACCATAAGTCTCTTTCCTTTTCGATCGGCTCATGAGTCCCTGGAGGAACAAAAAAGTGAATGCAAGTCAATTTAGCTAAAAGAGTTATTTTCTAATTCACTTCACCTTACGACCTGGATCACATATATGTTGTACTTCAGTTTAAATGAAAATTAATGATGGGTGTTTCGACCATGCCTGTCATGCACCTTAAGATTTAACAGCTTGTAAAAGTTTGTGACTACAAATCATATGTCGGTACGTCGCATACATAACCTCCTCTCCCCTAGCGTAGCTACTACTTACCTCATGGCCAGATTTATGGTGGTTCTTTCCTCCTGAAAGAAGGACTTGAAGTTCGCTGAACTTACAGCAGTTTCGATGACATCAATTTGGTGATTCACAAACCTGGATGTATTTTCACACAAAACCTAAAACAACTTTCTAAAATAAGTGTGTTCTTGTCATCAAAATGCGTCTTTAAAATTCACGGACATCCTATGTTAAATCCATGCCACACAGCAAATGGGATTAGAACATAGCGCTTTAGCCCCATTGACTTACATTCATTTTCGTTCTTCCAGGGTCCAGAAGCAGATTGGCTCCCTATTCTCAGCACCATCCTGACTTGGATTTTATTGAATTTTTCAATGTGTTGTTGGAGACAAAAAATGAAAAATATCACTGAAAATGCACTAAAAGTCACTTTAAAAGATCCAAAGAGCCACATGAGACTCCAGAGCAACAATTGCAGACCCTATGTTAAAAACACATAATGATTATTCATTTAACCTTATAAAAGGCATTAGTATTTGAAAACTGGGATTTCACATTGAGAAAAAAGAACGACTTATTCAAAGAAGCACAAAAAATTATTGATTTTAGCTTAAAATGTCAAACAACTTTCCTGATAAATGCAGGTGAAACTCAACAAATTTGAGTATAGAGCAAAAGTTCTACTCTTTCTGTAATTCAACTTAAACGGTGAAACTATGACATGAGATTGTGTCACTCACATTGCGTTTCCCAGCTCCTGTCATTTAGAGTCTTGTTAGTGTTAATTTGCCTCACCTGCCCCTTGTTTCTTACCCGCCTGTTCCTGATTACCCCTGTGTATATAAACCCTGTTTGTTCTGTTCTTCTTGTTGAATTATCTGGGTTACTCTGCAGTGAGCTGTTCACACTTGTTGCTGTTAATATTTCTGATCACCTATAAAATGCTTTACCTTGTATGCCAGCCACCTGGTGTGCATTCACCTGCTTTTGGACCATCACACCCATAAACATGACAGATAGATGCATTACATGCAAAGTCAAATTAATTAGGATATTACGAAAAGGTTCAATATTCTGGAGTCAAAGCATCACACGCTAATCAGCCATTAATCCAAAACACCTTCTAAAGATTCCTGAGCCTTTAGATGGTTTCTCAGTGCAAACTGACTTAAGCACCATATTAAAATGTTTCCAGTTTCACACATCTAAAAGAAAGTTTTGGTAAATCACAATGACTTAATCCAGATTAATATTTAGTGGCTTAAATGTGGAAGAAAGAAGCATTTGCTGTCATGCAGAAAGGCATGACCAGAGCATCACTAACTGATCACAGTTTGCATTAGGCTGCCTCCACTGAGCTGAGGATGGATTTACTTTTACGCAGAAAAATGGAGGAAAACTCAGGGTGGACAAATAGGCTTTCATTATTTTTATAAATCCCCATTTTTGTCTGCAGGCCACTTTTAACCTGATTTAAGTGACTAATATTTCACTGCAGCCATCATGTTTTTTTTAAAAAGCTCCATCCCTGATTTATCAACTTTATGTGACAGTCTAGAGTTTGTAAAGAGACTGAAACATCAGACATTTTACTTTCTTCCTTTGACTGATGCCCTCACATCATCACTTCTGTCTAATTTGCATATGTTATGAGTAAGATGTGTACTCTGTGCAGTAAGAATCCGCCACAACAGGCCCTGATCCATTGTTCGCCCCCTCCTTTTTGATCATCTAACAACTTTTAGAGGTAATGAGTAACCGTCCTCTCCTCGGGTCCCTCTCCAATCATTAGAAATTTGTTCTAACCAAAGCCGGCTGTTTTTCTCAAGTCGTTCTGGAAATCTTTCCCCTTGAGGCGATGCAGCTGACGAGCTATTAGCGCTAATTACCGATCTGCTTCATTTAGAAACCTCTCATTTAGATGTTGCCACACTTCACCTCCAGCATCTCAGCCTTTTGGTGTAAATCAGGAACCACGCGAGCTGCGGGTTTTCTTTCTCAGACTCCGGTGTCTTTGCAGATGAAAACCTCTGCAGACACTGAGGTGGTGCTGAAGCGACACAGTGAAAAACTCTTGGTTTAATTTTTCTGCCAAAGTGCTCACGGTTCAGCGGTTCTTTATGCTTTGGAGGATAACAATGAGAAATTTAAGTGATAGCTCAGTTTCCTGTCTTTTCTTGTGTTTTAAAAATGACCCAAATGCAGCCGGTGGCCCATATGTTCAGCTAAATTTTGATGTTTTTTTTTTTTCATCATTTCTTGTGATCATTTCTGGGTCATTTGGTGTAGGTTTCTAAATAAGTCATTATTTCTTCATTTTAATCACTCAGATTTTAGGTTTTATTGGCAATAATAGAATATCTTTGAGCTGTATTTTATTACTCACACACATGCATCTAAACTAAAAGCATCTGAAACTCTGAGTTGAAGAAAAGCATTTAGAAAAGTCATTAGATTTTAAAATAAATTCATTTATAAAAGCTCAGAGAAGCAGGAACACTCAAAAAAAAATACACCAAGTCAGTTTAACAGGATCTGTCATGCAAAGGAAAACCTCGACGCATCGAGCAAATGTGGTCAACCAGGACAGAAGCGTGAAGCTGAGGTTTCAGGAAGTCACCTGTCTTGGATGAGCCAGGGACCACGGAGGAAGAGCCATCCCCAAAACAGATGTTCATCAAAAGAAATCAGAAATGAAGTGAGCGAGATGTTTGGATGGCGACGCGTCTGGCTAGGACTCAACGGGAGCTCTGCTTCACTGGGAAGCTCGCTCCACTTTTCCACAAGCTGCAAAAACAACTATAAATATTTTAAAGCAAAGAAATAAACAAGTCAAGGATTAATATGTATGTTCCTCAGTGCATGTAAGATGTTTTTGAGCCCAGCACTCAAAGCCTATTTAGTAGCTTTAATACGTGTTTTATCAAAAACTTTTATACAAATTATGTATGAAAACTTACAACCAAGACAAATACTCACCAAACCATAGTTTATTTTCATTCATGAGACTATTCGAAGCAGTTAAAAAAACTTCTGCTTTAACAACTAATTGTATTATATTAATTCAGACTTCACCATTTGAAGTCATTTGTGATGTAAACATTTTTGTTCTCACAGCTCTTGTTGGAAATGTTCAACATGACTTGTCTGCTTAGTAATACATCACATAATATGGTTAAGGAGTTATTACTTTAATAGTTTATTAATGCTTAATAATGCACTAAGTAATGCAAATAAGGGGACCCTTACCCCTGATTCACACTGGAAGCTTCAGCGAGTCTCGCTGTGTGCAAGTACACACCAGGAGAGTCTCAGCCACGAAGCAGCTTTTTTACCGTGCTCCTCGCTGGACTTGCGGGATCACTAGCGTCCTTTGTCAAATTAGCATTCATGGACTCACCCATCTGGACTCGTGACGGGGAAGGCTGTTGTTGGTTTTGCGTCCAGGAAACAGCAGAGCACATCCCGGCTACTAGAAGCTAACTTTTAGCATTAGCAGCTCCACCACACAGCAGAACTCCTTCAGTATTGTGTTATTTGTGGAGATAAAACACCAGTGTTGCAAAGCAAACAATCAGTGGCAGAGTCACATTCAAGTTTAGCCAATCAGAGAAGAGATGTCCTTACATCAGGAAATAAGACTCCAAATCCCGCTGCCGTCCACTCGCCTCTGCTCTGACTCACTTTAAGTTCCTGAAACAGGAGCGCCAGAGCCTTTTCCGTACAGAGATCGACTTACAAGACATTAATTTATATTAATGACCATTGTGTTTCTGTTGAAAAAACAGGTGAACTTGATCTTTACTGCATGGAACAACTGAAATGTGCATAGAAATGTTCCCTGAAGACAAGAACTCTAAAAAATCTCCACGTTTCAAGTTTAACTAACTGGTTTTAAATTGTCTTAGAAATTTCTGGCCTCACATTCTGACTTCCTCTTATCATGTCCCCTCCCAGCTTGTGCTTGCCACGGGACCTTCCTCTCACCATCCAGTCCTGTGTTCTCCCTAAAGACTGTCAGGTCACCGAGTGGACTCAGTGGAGCTCCTGCTCAAAGACCTGCCTGGACCTCGAGTCTCCAAGAGGGAATTGCACTCGGAGAAGACAGGTGCTCCAGTTTCCAGTAGGAGATGGAGCCGACTGTCCCCCACTGGAGGAGACGTTGTCCTGTGAACCTCAGGGTGAAAGCCTGCCGCCCTGCGCAGCGTGAGTCACTTTTAATTCCCGAGAAGAGAAGTTCAGAAGGATCATTCCAGAATGTTGTGACCTACAAAACGTTAAATATATATTCTATAGTCATGTATTTTTCTTTGTCTGCATTGTTTTTGGTCATGAAACCCAGTAGGGATCATATCTGTATTTCAGTCACGTTTTGGTAAAGTACAGAAAAATCTGTGTTGGCTCAGACTGCACAAACTTCCTGTTGACCTCCATTTACACATACCACCAAGCTAATTTGTTCTCCTGGGTGGTGCATGGGTGAGTGTACGTGTGTTTGTGTGTGAGTCAGCATATGGAGAAAGATTAGTGCTTGGGTTGGACTGGAGCCAGACACAAAATAAAGGCAAATGGAGTGAGGCTATAAAGCTATTTTGAATTCTCACTCACAAAGTGATCCGGGCTGTCAGATGGCTCTGTTTCCACGTTAATACACATTTCTGTTTGCGTGAAACAGCGAAACATTTCTAATCCCATCAAGGAGAATGTTTGCCTTCCTGTCAAACTTTGTCACTTTGAGTCTGTGACGCATAGAAAATGTATTTTTTCCAAATTCTTCAGTCTAACGAGTGTTTTTTATTAGTTTGTCGAACAAAGACATTTATTGACTAGTAACCTAAATAAAAGAAGCAAAACCATTCCCTGATAAGTTTCCAACCTCAAATGAAGAAAGGTCTTCTTGGTGCAAGTCTGCAGGATTTCACAACACCTCTTCTGCTGTTCTGTGTCATCGCTGTAGCTTCGTGTGGAGAACTACCGAGTGGAGCGACTGTCGAGTAGACTTACTGCTGAGCCAACAGGACCGTCGCCGCAGCAACGTGACGGGGCTTTGTGGAGGAGGTCTGCAGACCAGAGAAGTTTATTGTGTCCAGGCCAATGCGGAGCTTCTGGAATACCTCACCGACCTCCGAGAAAAAGACAAAGGTAACGTTGGATCAGACACCATGTTTGCTTATGCTTACATCCTTCGTGGCTATTTTGCAATGTGTTTCTGTGTAAAATGCAAAAGAATGTTGTGGATGTCTTCCTGAATGGCTTCTGGTAGGAAAAATAGAAATGATGCTGTTGAAACCAAAGTCTGTTTAGGTCTTCTTAAAACTGTTAAATTATTTTAAACTTCATAGCAGAGCTTTTTATTTACACTTCCAACACTTTTAAATGTTTTTATTTATTTATTTTTTTGCTTTAACATGGAAATCTGCTGTTGACAACATAAACACCACCATCATCAGTTAAACTGATCACTTTCGGTGCACGCAGGGGTTGAGTTCAGCAGGAAATTACTTTCTCTCTGTAGGGTTTAGAGAACTTGAGCTGCTTTAATTGGAACTGGCTTAATAAATATGCTTAACAGTTCATACCAATGTTATTTTATAAACGTCCACATAGCTGTAGAATTTGCATCATGTGATTTTTGAACAAGATTCTGTACAAATGGAGGATTTTAGAAAGTCAGGAAAGCAGCAACTGCAAATCTGCAGAAGAAGTTAGTTTTAAACACTAACACTGTCTCACCCCTCCTGTCAGCTATCACCCTTATAGGCCACGTCTTCCTGATATGGAAACCCACATTGCCACATTAAACAAGATAGTGCTAAACACCGGTTACAGTTTTCTACATCCAAATGTCTTTCACTGTCCGTGACTTCAAATGGTGGTGTTCTTTTTGGGACTCTTGTCTTAAAGTTAAAGCGGTAGCAGCTGACCATTTCTCGATGTCTGGTATTACTGAGCCGAGATCCTCTCACATCAGTGGTGTTCTGTTGCTAAACACGCGAGTGTGTAATGAGTGAAGGTATGGTAGGACCGACAAGCGGTTAGTCAGTTGTCTAGTTTCGGACTAAAACATGTTATTGGTGGAGATTTTTAGATAAATGCAAGAGAAGGACTTTATTTTTTAAATCTCCACATTATATTTATACTTGTACTGCCTTGTACTGTGCTGGAACGCTGTTTGGAAGCATGAAAAAAAAATTTGACAGATTTGTTTTAAACACAAATAAAAGCACATTGAAACTTCACTGAAAGACAGAGGTGTGAGGTGTCCAATATTTATGATGCTATTTATAAAGTTACATGAACTCTGGTTAAATTTAGAAGATCAGAGATTTTTCTGTGACAGGAACACACTTGTTTGCGCTGGATTTGGATTTGTTATTACAGAATTCAGATTGGAATTCTAATGGAAGCCATTTAGGAAGAACAAGCCTGAGATAAATAATAATTTTTTACTCAGAAAAACACTATATATATATATATATATATACATATATATATATATATATATATATATATATATATATTAGTGCAGCATCAGCCATATCAAGAGAAGTTCTTCCCCTGAACCACTTCTGCATTATCTTCCTCCCAATCCTCTTTTGTTCTGCTTTTAAAGTTTATTTTTTCCTCTGAGGCTCAAAACGGCTTTTATTTCTAACCAAAGCTTTCACTGAGTTATTTCATTTTCTGCTGATTCTCGAAGCATAAATCCTAACTAACAGACTTTAACACCCCTCTAGCATGTTGGTCAGAAAATTGTTGGTTTGACTCCCAGACGTCTCAGTTCATGTGTTCTTGAATAAGAAACTGAGCCCAGTGTTGTTTCTAAAGTGTGTGTGTGTGTGTGTGTGTGTGTGTGTGTGTGTGTGTGTGTGTGTGTGTGTGTGTGTGTGTGTGTGTGTGTGTGTGTTTGAATAGCTTATCGTAAGAGCCCTTTAAGTCATTAACACCAGAAGAGTTACATAAATGTGCTTCATTTATCATTTATTGATTTTGTGACAGCTCGTGCAGTCTCTGAATCCTCAAGAACTAATTTTTATGTTGTTGTTTTTCTCTTTACATTTATTACTGGCAGTAAAACAGATTTTAAATATGTAGGAAGCACTCTCAACCCCTTTCTGCGTCATTGGTGGGAATTTTCTTTCTACTAGATTGATAGAAATTCAGGTCGCGTTTGTCTGAACCACCTGAGAAGACGCGACCTTTAGATCTTCAGCATTACTCTAAAACCTGTGATGGTGAAAGGCGGTAAATTCAGGTTTGTGACAACAGCGGCTTCTTGTAGAGAGTATAGTGTCACGCATAAATTTCCCTTATGTTCCAGCTGGTTGTGCCCTGCAAGGTTTATAATCACAGCCAAGGTTTGGATCAGGATTTGTCAAGAGGTTCACCTCCTGGAAAATAAAAGGATGATTTATTAGAAACAGTCTGGTGTGCATAAAGATATTCACTCAATTTGGTTCAGTTAGTCAGTAACTCTGAATCTGCTCACAGTTTAAAAATGGAATTGAATGTTTTAAAAAAAGTTTGTTGAAGTTTTTTTTAAGTCTAGTTTTAATTAAAAAATATTTGTCAAACTGCTTCACTTTGGAGAAAATATATAAAAGCATATAAAAAGAAGGAACTAAATTATGATTAATTCTTTTACGAGTGAATTATTAGATATGAATCCAGTCTGATTTTTCAAACATAGAAGAAAAACAGTTGAAACTGACAGTGTTTTGTGATTATTTACAGTAGATTTCTCACATATTGCTCCATTAAGCCTGAAGTTGTTGACAATTTAGGAATTTTCTTATCGTCCCACTGGAGCATCTCAATCAGATGGAGCTCTGGATGCTGCAAGTGTGAAAACTACCATTTTTTATTATGCAGTAATTTTTTTTGTTTGTTTTTTTAGCTCCATCTGTCAGACAGATGTCCTCATATTTAACACCTCAGTCCAGCTGCTGCAGAACAAGCCCAAACCATGCAACCTCCACCACCGTGCAGACAGCTGAAATGAGCCGTTGGTGTTCTTCTATCAAAAGAAAAATAATTCAGAAGCTATTGTAGCTTTGCAAATAATCTTCTACATTAGTTCTTGAGGGATTGTAAAGCAGCTCTTGTGGTACTTTTGTATATTCTTCTCAGTGCTGCCCAGTCAGAGTAAACTTACTAGAAAACTGGAAACTGCTCCTTGAAAAAAATTTGTCATAATTTTTACCTAAAATGGGAAAAAGTGCAGCAAACTGCCAGGAGGGGTGTAAAACACTCAAAGGTGTGCAGATTTTTCCATTCAGTTTCAGCATTTTTTTTCTGCACTTCTCATTTTGTTAAAATTTGTTAAATAAATGAAGACTGAGCTGCTATTTACATTATTCAAAGGAATGGTTTGCATTGTGTCTTGATCTATAAAACTTCAGAAATAAAAGAGAATATAACATTTTTAGGAGGATGTTATTTGAAGTCTTTGAGCCGAGTTGCTGTGCTGTGAGCTGAAAGCTGCAGAATGACATGAAAAATCTCATTTATTTTCAAGAAGTCACTGATTTATTAACAGAGACATTCTTTTTTTTCAACTGCTCCTCCTCAGTGATTATCTTTATAAATTAGTTAGTAAATAACTCAAATCCTGCCATATTTGCTTCCTGAGCTCGTTGGTTCCCAGGAAGCTTCTGGCCTCTTTCCTTTCATATATTAAATACAGTCAACGCAGCAACTGCCTGCAGCCTGGAATAAATCACTTTAGTTTATTTGTGCAACTAAAATAAATGATATCAGACACTCTTAATGGACACATGCATCATTCAACCCCTCCATAAAAGTCCTGTAGCTCGTTATACTACTGGTTCCTGCTAATGTCAGATGCTATTGCTAACTGGAGAGCTTATCTCAACATTGAGCTGCCTTTAACCTGTTGTCTCGTGTCGTTTAGAGGAGGGATTTTCTGGGTGTCCTGCTGGGACTCGTCACAAGTGCAAAGGCCTCCATCTCTGACACTTGTCAATCCCGCTTAGAGTCAAAGCTGCCCTACTGAGAGGGCGTTAAAGACGTTGGTTAAGGCTAAGCCTGTGGAGATCACATGAGGGACAAACAAAGGTGAGGTGAGGCATTCACTTACAATGTGTGTCCCAATGTTCTGAGTTTATCCTCGTGCATCAAGGAGGAGAAACAGAGTAATTTTTATATCAAAGTTAACGGGAATGATGGATGCCTTCTCGGATGTTTTTGATGATTTTTCTCCTCATTTGTCATTTGAAATCCTCTTCTAGAACTGTTTTTGTAATTCTCTATTTAGTGAGGAGTTCTGTGTGTCCCTCAGTCACCAACTGCTGCTGGTGATGTAATGGCAATGAAAGCCACACTTTTGAAAAAAACATGCATCTTTGCTTGGGTGGTTCTGGTCCTGGCCGTGAAAGCATGGACCAGCTCTTTACCATTCTTATGGTGATGGAAGGGGCACAATGACATTAAAAACGATTGATGAACTCTTCATGACGTCACCCATAGATTTCTGAGGCTTTGACTTAAAGGCTACAGGCTGTTCCGATGACCGCCTTTTTGGCCGGGTGACACGTCTTGACACTCACAGACAATACCACTAATGGACAAAGAGGTGGAGCTATGAGCTAAATTTTGAGGATCTCAGTCTGCCATTGCTTGCAGCTACCTGCTAACTGGGCTAACCGTAGCTAACAGAGATTTGTGGGTGCTTGCAGCCAGAAAAACGCAGTTGAGCAACTCTAACATGAAGAATGCATCAACTCACCAAGCTGCAGGTTCTGTGTTCTCCCTCAGAGAGCTCCTCAGACCACAGCGATCGGAACCCGGCACCTGGGCCATAGGATCCCATGCTTTGCTCCTCTGGAGCAGGTGGAGATCCATGGGGGAGGTGCTGTGGTGAGACTCTGACCACCCATGTACTCCTCCTCCAGGGATGCCCTTTGTCTTTATGGACAAGTTACTAGGAGCATCCGTGGGGTGGAGGGTGTTGAGTATGGTGGCAGAGGATACCACCTCTGCTTTTTGTGGATAATGTAGTCCTTTTGGCTCCATCCGATTTTCACCTTCAACTCTTGCTGGAGAGGTTCACAGCTGATTGTGAAGTGGCTGGGAGGAAGTCCATGGCTATGGTTCTCAACTGGAAAAAGATGGATTGCCAA